GCAAGCTTCAGCAAGCACAGGGGCCGCGGGTTAATGCCTGGCACCACGTGAGGCATCAGCCGCAGGGCGTGCTGAGCCAGTGTGCCGTGGTGCACGCCTGTAATCCCAGCGCTGGAAAGGCTGAAAGCAAGAGGATCACTACGAGTCTGAGCTGTGTGATGAGACCCTGCAGCAACCAATTTCATTAAAAACAAAAAAAAACCCAAAATAATAGTGAATACAAAAATACTGTTATATAATTAACATACGGTCTTGAACATAAAGCATAATATATTGATATTCTTTGGATTAAGAATTTATGATGGGCTTGGGGAGACATCTCAGTGGCATAAACTCCTGCCTGGTGAGTGTAAGATCCTAAGTTCCATCCCCAGTAATCCCCTCCCGTCCCCCCCCCCAAAAAAAAAAGAATTTAGGGTGCAGCCAGTTGTGGTGGTACATGGTTGTAGTCCCAGCACTTAGGAGGCTGAGGCAGGAGGAACATTGTGAGCTCAAGACTGGCCTGGGCTACAAAACAAGCCCCTGTCTCAAAGAGGAAAACAAACAAGAATTCATGGTGTACAAATGTCATGGGCATGTAATTTTTGCACTTGGGCGGGTGAAACAGGATTGTTTTGAATTCAAGGGCCACCTGGGCTGCATAGTAAGTTCAGGCCAGCTTCATATACACAGGAGACCCCTGTCAGAAAGAAAGAAAAGAAAGAGGAAAGGAACGGAAAAGAAAAGAAAAGAGAAAAGAAGGAAGCTTACCTAAGCAGGAGAAAAAGGTACTTCTTACACAGCTCCTAGGACTCCTGTTCGTAAGTTGTTAGTCTTGCCCATTGCAATGGAATATATTGGAAGTAACATTATGTAATTATAGCTCCACACATGACGAAAAATCATAGTACATTCTAAAACTATATGGAAATGTCAGTTGGCTTCCATTGGCTTCAAATAAAAATCACCCATGAAATATTGTAATACTAAAATGGAATTTGCTGTCTGAACAAAATCTAAGTGGAAGCAGAACTAGCTGAGGTTTGCTTATAAATAGCGGCTGCTAATTCACGATGCAAACAAAACACTGCTCCAGGAGCCTGGAAGAAGATTGTGCTCTTCTTGTCAGGGGACACCTGGGTGGCAGAGGATGGAGGTCTGTACCTGGTAGCAGCAGACAGTCTGGTAAATCCACTTTCACAAGGGCCGGGTGACAGAAGTCAGCTGCCCTGCACAGTACCCTGACTAGGAGTTAGATGAACTAGGAGTGTTTTCTCCTTTGTCCTCCTGATTTTAAAAGCAGGCATTTCCTCACTGGGTGGATGACGTACACCGTAATCTCAGCCCTTGTGAGGCTGAAGCAGCAAGATGACCAGTTTTATAACCTGCGCTATATATTGAGACCTCATCTCAAATGAAGAAAGACAGGTTTCAGGGGCTAGGAGATAGCTTGGTGGCCTACATGCCTGCCTGGCAAGCACAAGGTTCTGATTTTGATTCCTGGGACTGCATGGCGCTCCATGCCAGCCTAGAAACTGGGCATGGTAGTGCACGCCTGTAATCCCAGCACTGGGGAGGCTGAGACAGGAAGATCACTGTGAGTCTGAGCTGCATAGCAAGACCCTGTATCAACAAATAAAGAAATACATAAAGAGAATGAAAGACAGGTATTTTTACTTTTGAACCGTTCGTTCTCATTTGCATGTTTGGATTATGGGGCTGCCTCTGGGCAGGATTGTTTGCTATTTCAAGTAAAACCATATTTAATGTCCTTGGAGGGCACCTTCTGTACTTGCATTGTTTTTCAGATCAGGTCCCGTGACGGGCCAAGTTTGGCATAAAAATAATGACAAATTTTGGAATCCCGTGTTCAGGGAGCTTCTGAGCAGGGATGAATACAAACTATTTATGAAAAGTTTTATATTTGCAATTTCATTTCTTAATTCCTGCTTGGAATAGTGATTGTATATATATTTAAAAAAATCTCCTCAGTGCTGGATCCAGAGTACAGCTTTTGAAGACTTGACCTTAAAATGGAAAGGCACCTACAATGTTTATATGACAGTGGAATACCCCTCTCTGAGAAAACTGAACAAAAAAAGGGGGACACAAATGAACGACTTGTTTTGTACCTGTATGTTCAAAATAGTTAAGATAGATACACAGCTGCATTCTCTCGGATCATTGAATAGAGAGATTTGTTCTGATAGTGTTTGTGGACAGGATATCATGTCTGCATCTTGTACAATGAATAACCACTAAGACAGCAATATGCAATGTATTAATGAGTGAAACTGTGCTAGTACTTGGTTTTGAAACTGTCTCATTGCTATTTGTTTCTCAATAAAATTATTTTTTAAAAAATGGAAAGGCAGGTTGACTTCTCAGGTCCGCCATGCTGAGGATCGCAGAGCCTGAGGTGCCCAGGGCCTGGTTTCACGAAGGTGGAACAAAGCAGGAGGCCCTGGGGCAGATGCTCCGAGCTCTGTGTGTGCAGAGGCCGGAAGCAACTGAAGAAGAAGGCTAGCAGAGCTTCCTGACACAAGCACAGGCCAATGTTACACCTTCCTGATAGACGACTACGTAGCCAGGGACACTTGGAGGGGTCAGGGACTGCTGCAGACCCTCCAGCCCGCTGGGGCAAGGGGCTGCCAGAACCCATGCCCTCCAGAGCCTGTTGAATGGGTCGACACAGAGCCCACCTCCTAGACAGAAGTTGTTGCTTTTGGGTGGAGGAGAGAAATAAACATCACCTGCAGAGACAGCGTTTCATTTTTTCACGAGTCCCACATAGGGAAATCTAACTGCGGAGTTTTTGTCTTGAGGTGTAATAAGCCCAGCCCCGGGACAGTCCACTTCGTGTCTCTATCGCAATATTTATTTCCCAGTGAACGCTTAGAATCCTGGTAAATAACTGTAGAATTCCTTCCGCTTTGGGTTTGCCTGGTGTTTATAGTAAGACTTCAGCTTATGCACTTTGCAGGAATACCATTGAAGCGATTTGTCCCCTTCTTGGGGCGTGATTCCATGGAGCATGGTGTCTCACTGCCGTTGAGCTAACTTTTGGTCAGTCTGATAGGATCGTGTGGTACCAGTCTATTATTATTATTATTATTATTCAGTTATTACATTTCCCACTGGAATTAAGCATCTTGAGAAGAAATGCTTTAAAACCTTGTGAACAACTTCTGTCAAACATTTGCGAACATCTTCGGTCACATGAATGATTTTTTCCCTCGACAGTTATTTCTGGGGTGTTTGCCCAAATGCTGATCCGATTTATTTCCACCGTTGGAGACCACAGCGTCCCCATGTGCATCTGTTTTTGTCGCCGCTCCTATCCCTTAGCCTCACACATTGTCCACCACATGTTTGACGCCAGTCAGCCTTGACCTCCTCCAAGTCTTTTCTGGCCTGAGGACAGGCTGTGGCTTTCCCTTTCACAGCTGCTATGTTGGAACAGCCCCCCTTGGGGTGCAGCGAAGTCCTCTTGCTACTGCCTCACCTCCAGAGCCCAGCTGTGTCCAGTCTCCCAAGACAAAGCACAGGCCTCTCAGGAAAGGGCTCTGCAGAATGCAGTTTCCTTCTCTTTGTTGTTTCTACATGGAGAAAGTGTAATTGGCTGGAACCCAGTGGCTTGAAAAGGTCACAGCGAACAATAAAGAGCTGGCAGCATGGTGAGGGCTGTGAGGCCAAGCGGAAGTCCTGATTCACACGGCATGCTGAGCATTCTGGAAGCCCTGCCAGGGGCTCAAGCTGCTACAAGGTGAAGTAGGTGGCTTCCCTGAAGCAGGGTCCCTGGCAGTGTTGGCAAAGAGCAGGAACAAAGGAGAGAGTGAAGACAAGAAGGGTGTCAATAGGTAGGGGTGCTAACTGGAGATGCAGAGGATGAAGACAGCAAAGATGGAGAGTTTGGGGCACAAGGGGACAGTGATGATGGTGCTGGGGCTGCTGGTGGTGGCGGCGGCTGCATTGGGAATAGGCTGAGGCCTCGATGGATCCCACTTGGCTGTAGGGTCAAAGGAAAAAACTAGTATGACATGGACTGTGGTTCTGAATCCCAGAAGAGTCTTCCAAGAAGTGGAAGAGAAGGGGCCTGCTAGATAGCTCAGCGAACTAAAGCACCTGCGTAGGCAAGCTTAGGCAAGCACAGGGACCGAGGTTCGATCCCCGGCACCACGTGCTGCACCAGCCCTGCCCCCAAAGGGGGGATGAGCTGGCCACCAAGTACGAGTGTAGTGACGTATGCACTGTGGAGGCTGAGAACAGGAGGATCACTATGAGTCCAAGCTGTGTAGTGAAACCCTGTGACAATCAAATACATTAAGAGAAGAAGAAGAGTGCCTCCCCCACCCCGCCCGCCAAGTAGGATTTTCTGCCGAGTTCCGGGAGCCCCCAGACCCAGTCCTAGCCCAGG